TTTTTTGACTTTTTATATGCTCTGTCCAGCGACTTCCATTTGTTTTCCACTTGTGTGGCAGTCACGTTGCACAAGAACTCCGTATTGATGGCCTCAGCCAACTTCTTCCACAGAAGCCTTCTTGTGCTAAACAAAAAAGCAAAGCACAGTTAGTAGGAAAGAAGGAAGCGACGTAACGTGACCCAAGTCTTGCAGTAGCACATGAACCTTTCCTTAGTACTTCATATGTGTAGCTTTCAGGGATAATTGCTAGGGATGTTCGATTATTCGAAAATTTTGGATAATGAATCAAACAGCACTGTATTCGGTTCCTAAGTCGAATCGAATTGCACATATTCTAAGTAACAAATATTCTTTTAATAATCGGCACTGGCGGGAGAACCCCAAAACAACGAAACAGCTACAAGTCATTCTTTCAATCCCTAATGTGACCTGTACGCAGCCCAAGCTTTTGCAAGACTACCTACACTATATTGATTGTCGAATGAATGCGCTTCTGAAAGCTCCATTCTTGCTCAATTTTTACTGCACTTTAGCTGTATCGCATTTATCAGCTCCTGTCTTCGTCTTGTAATAACCAAAGGTGGGAACTACGAGTGCTTGCAGCTTCACGACTAGCAACAGATACAAGTTTTGCGTTTGCGTAAATTGTTCTTGCAGATGTAAATTTCAACGCCCATTGTTATCCGCTTTTAGTGCGCAGGCCATGTTGTGATGACGGGTTGATCTGCTCCGTTACATATTTAGTTGTATCTGCAATGTTTGGTTGTAAATTGTTTTGTTTTTGTGTCCCAATTTTATTTAAAGTGAGGTGACAAAGTCTCACGTTGATAACGCTAGTCAATGCCGTAGTTGAACCTACAATTACAAAATGTTACGAATATTCTAGTTCCTGCTGCATACGAGATTACCTTAGTTTTCGTAATTGTGGTATTTTGAGTAGATTCAAACTGACTGTAATGGCCTTTGTCGAAAGTTTGTGACTATTTGTTTCAAATAAAATGTTCTGTTCTAAGGCTGTTTTGAAAATGGTCTACTTACTATTCAAACAGTATTCAATTACTATTTGTATTCTATTTGGTGCCATTACTATTTGACTCTTACTTGATTAGGTTCCGAAATTCACTATTCACACACTTCTGATAACTGCGAACGTTCTTTTTGTGCGGGAAGCATTATGTTGGAGAAGTTGAACATTGTGTAAATCACTCTTTTGGATCATAAAGCTTCACTAAGGAGACAGCCATATTCTAACCTGTCTTTGCATTGTAAAACATGCAGCTGCGCAACCTTGTTTGCTGACACGACGGCGCAGTCTAGGTTCAAAGATAGGGTAGCACGTGTCAAGAAGCATATCTCTTTTAACAATGAGCTGCACCATCTTGAAAAGTGGCAGTGCGAGAGAAATGCGGACAGACAGTGAAGACACAAGGACTGCAGGGCGAGACTTGCTAGAGATGTGCCTCAGAATAACAACATGCAATTCCCTCTAGTGCAAATTCTCAAGGCAGCACTACACTTGCAACATGGCTTGAGCTTGGAGGTGCTGCACCTTTTCGGCAAGACAGCGGTTGTGCAATGCCCAACACAAAAGCACCGTCGCTGTTTTTGAAGATCACTTGACTTAATGAAACATTACGAATGCCTTCGTTGTGTATATATGTGCGTGACTATACATACTGTTTGTGTGTATATGTAAACGTATATGTCACAGTCAGGCGCATAGCCAAAATTTTTTTTCAGTGGGGGGGGGGCAGTAAAATGTAAATTGCTGGCAGTAAAATGTAGGCAACAATAACCATCGCCATTGTGAACTTCATGCGCCCTTATCTTGTTGGTGCTTGCCTAGAGTGAAACGGAATAATAAAAAGCTGCAAATAATTTTGGACATAGGATGACATACCGAAGTGCCCTGGTTTTTCCCACCAAGTCCTTCATTTCCGAGTATTTGGCGATGAAGAACCTTGTTTTTCGGGCGCTCCAAAGCTCTTCCACATCTTCAGCCGACGCGGCTGCTGCTGGAAATGCGGCTAAAGCCCCATCGCTGTCAACGTCGCCGTCGCAGGCAGGAGAAGGCGTCGGCGGTTGTGCCGGAGGGGGGTCATTTTCACGATTCCCTGCCATGAACCGCAACGTAACGCGCTTGCCGTCTGCAAGGGCGAAAACCAAGATTAAAAATACCGACATAGCATAAGCAATGCTACGAGGCTGTTTGCTGACCGACTACGACTCCTGACCGCTAACCACGTTTTTTGGCAATGCATGCAGCCTGACTTACCTGATGCCTCATAGACGTAACCGTTGGCGTCCGTCATAAATGACCCGTCGGGATTGTGAAGTGCCTTAACTTCCTTTTGAACGCCCTGAACAACTATTTGCAACGTCGTCTGCTCTGGCCTTGGGGGGACGCCCGCCATGCTGCACTACTCTGCACCTGCTTTGGAGTGCGTGCACGCCGGTACAGAACTCGTCAGGAACTAGGCTTACACCTAGACAAAACGAGGGAGCCAGTGCAGAGGGTGCGACAGAGGGCGCGCGCTGCTCCGGCAAAACGAGGACGAAGGTGCTGCACCCTTTGAACTGGTTCAGCCGGTGCAGCCAAAACGAAGAGACCATTAGTTTAGAGATAATAATTTCGCAGTGGACTTCCCATTGTTGTCGTTTTCGTCCACCGGTGATGAAGGCCCGTTGACAACGTCTGGTTGGTTGTCCTGCGTTTTAAATATATTCTTCAATATCAAGAAAATTGATTTGCAAACATGAAGAAAACGAAATATTTGCTTACAGTTTGAGTCGGCTGCTGGTCGCCTTCCTCGTCGTCCGACAAAGTGATGTCTGACGTATTCCCATCCGCTATCCTCATTAGCAGATTTTCAGCTGCTTTGTTTTTTATTTTCGTTCAATTCTTCGCATGGCCCGCCAGCTCTAAGTAAAAAAAAGCAAAATAATAGCTTTTTTGAGCACTTCTGCAGCACCACTAGTGAAATGGCAAAAAAATGTAGTGTTGTATTGGTAGCGGCACAATGTACACCAATGTGTACGCATAAAGTCCCCTCCTCTTATCGCGACCAATTCATTGTCCCAAAAGCTGATATTCAGCCAAGTTGTTGAACAACTTTCTCGGACCACCTACCAACCATGCACAATAATTGCGATAGTGTGCCATTAGGTGAAAATTGTGTTTTTGTAAGCCACTCACCACAGCTGCCGTAGAACGAAGAGACATCCATTGTGGAACTTCTTCCTCCTTGTTTGTTTTCGATTCTTTCGAGTATGTAACAGACCGGACTATCTGCTATCAGCATTCGCCCTAGGCGATATTGTCTCCTCCTCCTCTCCACCGTTTCGTGCGCTTTACTTTCCTTCCTTTGCTTTCTTCCCCCTTCCCCGCTGTGAGCGCGGCTACTTAAGCCCAGCAAATAAATGGCCAGGGGTCTTTTCGTCATGGCGAGGCCTAGCCAAGTGTTCATCGTCGTCTAGTCTCTGAGTTAAACGTTACATGGTGTCAGAAGTGGTCCTGACGTTCAAAATGGACCTCGTGAAGCCCCCGGAACCGCTGCAACTGTCCGGCAACATCAGGAAAAACTGGATGGTATTCAAGCAGAAGCTGCAGCTGTTCATCACCGCTACGGAACCGGAGAAGCCCCGCCCATCGGCCGTAAAAGCAGCGATTCTTCTGAGCACCACGGGGGACGAGGCGCTCGATGTCTACAACATCTTCTCGTTTGCCGCAGGTGAGAGCAGAGAAGATTATGACACGTTAGTGCAGAAGTTTGAAGAATATTGTGTCCACCAGGGTAATGAAGTCTACGAAAAGCACATTTTTCGACTGCGAACACAGGAAGAGGCCGAGCCTTTTGAGCGGTTCCTACGGGACTTAAAATAGCAAGCAAAATATAGCTTAATAAAACTTGTTGTTGGGCTAGTTGGTTATACATCATATACTTAGAAATTTTGGCGCAACCTCGACTCACGCAGACACTCACACAAGCACACACACTTACACCAGAGCGGTTGGTTTGGACGTCGACGCGCCGTACAAACCAACCGACGAGCGGCAACTGAGCGAGCGAGCGCCGACCTTGAGTGTATATACAGCACGACGGCGCATGCACTGTCAGCTGTTGAATGTTCTCGAAGCGCGACGCCACATGCGCGTCCACTGGAGAATCAGGAGAATTGTAGATGTCGAACGCGGTGTGTAGAGGAGGAAGGGTGCACAGATGGTGGAGGAGTGAAGCGCGCGCGGTGTGTAGAGGAGGAAGGGATGCACAGATGGTGGAAGAGTGGGCGACGGCGCGACGGCGCATGCGCGCGCGTCAGCTGTCGAATGTTCGAGAAGCGGTGCGGACGGCGCGGACGGCGCACTACAAGGCGCGAGTATAAGATGCTTCCGCATCTAAAACAAAAAACCAGTAATCACTGTCACAGGCGACTCCGAGAAAAAGGAGAAGGTACTCAATTATGTCTCTCATGCAAGGACGCGGCCACGGTAGACGCGGCTAAGCGCCGACCCTGTCAGGACAAGTTCAAGGGGAGACCAAGAGAGGGAAAGAGACGAATATAAAAGCGAAACTAGCGCGTGCTGTCACATCTCGGAGGCCTCAAAAACAATTACATGAGTGTTGCAGCTGTTTGCGGCAAGTTCCTAGTAAGCATTGCACCGCACATTTTCGGTTCAAAGAAGGTGCTGATGCTCTCATTCGTGGTATCTAGACTATACCAAAAAAAAAAAAATGACATTATCCTCTCCCTCTCAACCACTCACACAGTCAACTCTCTAAATCATAAGTTTTTACATCACAATTGAGCTGTTGTAATATGCGGGAACTCTGTATGCATTCTTGTTTATGCGATTTTTTGCATGTTAACCCACTTACCACTGTGGCGCAGCAAGTTTTTGCGGACTATTTTGTTTTGCGCATGGGTACGCGTTCAAGAGTGGAGCGGCCGTCCGACGCACACACGTTTCCTACGCCGGCGCGGCACGCGAAACGATCGCAGTCGGCGGTAGTGAGCTTTCAGGTGCCGTGGCGGGAAACTAAATGCGGTGACGCTGCTCACAGTTCCGAAGGTGAAGGCATCATCACAAAAGAAAGCATGTTGTTGTCATTGTGGATTGCCGTATTGGTTACGCTGCTTACGACGTACATTTGGTGAGTGTTCGCGATTCGTACTTTGCTAAAATAACCCGCAACGTCGCGCTGTGAGGAGGATGTGAGGTTTCGAGTGTGGTTCGTGTGTGTCGACGAATCTGTTATATGAATTGGATGTGTGTAAGCTGTAGCTTTGAATTACATTTGTCTGGATGCCTCAAACGCTCACCATCTTCAGAGTCACAAGTGCAGACATATGAAAGTGTTTAAAGGACGAGCTGTACTAACAGCTGATTGTGATGCGGTTCGTACAAATCGCCATCAACCGAAGGCCCATTTGGTTAGTTTGGTTTAATTTAAGATGTGTCATTTCGAGGTCTAGCTTTTGGAAACTCGGACATTTGCAGTAATATTTCTTGAAGAGACAAATTTAGAGCTATTCCTTAACACTTTTTGTGCGCAGGGTTGCCCTTCCGGAGGGAACGCGAAGGCTCATCGCAACGCCTTCCCTCCCTATTTTGTCAATGTATGGGCACTTATCGCCCCCCATCTTAGGTGGCTAAAGGGGTGGCGCCCCCCCCCCCCCCCCGTCTCCCTTCCTCCCATGCGCACGCCTTTTTCATGGTCCTTACTGGCGAAGCCGTAATTTATTCTGTTCAAGAATGAACCAAAACACTGTTTATTGTGATTTTAAAATAAGTTCGTAGAAGACGTTTAAGTATAAATGACCGAAGTATGAATAGCCCACTGCCTACCATTAAGTAAATGCAGTTTAATTTCACCATCGTTCGTTTATTTATAGGACAGGAATGCTTAAATTATGTGTGTCCACTTCTTTCTTCATGTTGTGCAGATAGATATTCTTGCCCCGCTCTACTTTTGGCGACATTTTTATATAAAGTTGGTGAGCAGCTGGTTTGCTTAACAATTCATGATCGTCAAACAAAGCAAAAAACTGGTTAAAAAGTTCACTGCTAGGTTTTTTTTTCTTGCAAACTGTCATGATATTTGTATAGACCGATACAAAACAACTATATACAAAATTTTTTTAGTAAGAAAGAGGATTATTTACAAAATAAGGCTTATATTGTTGCAGAGAACTAATGTTAGGCTTTGCTAGACTTCACTGTTTTCCATAACTTATGTGAGCGCTAAAGGCGCGCGTACGTAAGACGAGTCAAAGTTGTAATATCAGCACCTGAGAAGTTATCTCAGCTATGCCCTCTCACTTTGTCGGTGAAGAAGCCAAGGAATGTGTATCAAATAAAGCATCGATACAAGTTTGTGGATTGCTTGGAGAGGGTGGTGTACAGAATTTCGCTTCCCTGTGGCCGAGTCTATAGACAGGTCGCTGTACCAATGTCCGTTCAAGTGAGCATCGCAATAAGGTACGTATGGGCATCTCGCACATCACTGTCAATGTGGTTGCTGCACAGATTTGGGTGCACGTTAAGGAACCCTAGGTGGTCGAAATTTCCGGAGCCCTCCACTACGGCGTCTCTCATAATAATATGGTGGTTTCGCGACGTTAAGCCCCACATATCAGTCAAATCAATGTGGTTGCGTACCTTTTTTTTTCAATAATACTGGGATTCGGACATTGACTGTAGACTAATTGTCGAGGCAGCTTAGATGAAGAGGGGTTATTTAATTGGGGTTAGTGCTCCTTGGGTTTCCTTGACAAGCAAGGAACTGCACTTTTTGGAGTGTGTGCATGAGACATAACATAATGAGCCTTGGCACTTCTGCAGACGCTATCGGAATGTTGTCCGAATCAGTCTTCACTTAGACCCATGCTGGCGCATACACTCTGGACACGTGTCAGCGCGAATGAACTCTGCATAGTGATAGCATGTTCTTTTTCAATTGTTCTTTCATTCTTGTCTTGTTTTCATGCTTTTTCTTTCCGGTGTGCCCTTCCAAGAAAATCTCAGCTACGCGCTTAAAATCTTACGTACGTGCCTTTAACGCTTACACAAGTTATGGATCAGTACCGACTAGGCCAAACCCAGTACCTTGCAATGCCAGTCAAGAATCACTAAGATTTGAGAAGGAGCACTCACAATCACTTTGTCTAGCACAAAATAAATATTGAAAATGTGAAGTTTACTAATAAAAAAGCTTTTTCCAACTGCAATGAGGATGCGCTTCTCTTTGTGCAAGTGACCTCAGTGTAGCCTAAGGTCAGTTAGGAATAACGTGTACCCTTGTATAAGCTGAGCTCTCGATTGGCCTTGTTTTCTATTCCTCTGAGCACAACTCGCTGTGCAGTTTTACCATAGGGACGACTTATTGAAATAAAATGAAATCATGGCTTCGACAGACACCCATCTGGTTGGGAAGAATCATTGAATGAAAGGATGAGGACCCCGACGACAAGAGAATGAAAATGCATGATTGTATTGGCACCCTGGAGTCGTAGCCTTGTTCAAATAAAAAGCCAAAGAAGGAAGCTAAAGCACGTGACCTGAACATCTCGTGTATGTGGTGGTGTAGATTACCATCTGCGCAACTGAGCATGTTATTTCCATTTTTATCCTCGGGGATTCCTGATACAGTCTTGAAGTCGGCTCTTTCTCACTAGTGACGATGTCTTTCTCCTGTCTAGTGCATAATTTGAGGCCTGTGCATGTTCAGGGGGGGGGGGGGGGGGCGGGCGTTAGATGATGCTTTCTCATTTTTTGCATCACTGCTGTGCTGTTTCAATCATCGCTTTACGTATCCAGATTCACTGATGTAGACACAATCACAGTTTGTGAATGACTTCATAAACCATGCCAGTAAGGCACTCTTCTCTTAATTCATCTTTCGCTTGAAGAAGAGTGTGTTTCAGGTTGCGCGTGGGTACGTGAGTCACATGTGAGTCGTACTTGTGCAGAACATTTGCCTTTTTGAAATAGACAGCTAGCAATAAAACGAAATACTTCTTGCTGCATTCTCCTTCTTACAACGTTCCACGTTTGTACAGACAGGTGCGAAATATATGTGGGAGAAAAGTGGATCATGGCAGGATCAAGTCAGCTTCAGGCCAGCTTGAAAACTTGTCAAAAAGCTCTGGGTCAGCATGTTTGTCTTTGGTCTTCGAAGAAGTACTGACAGGATTTTAAGACATCTCAAAAGGAACATTTTTGGATTCTTTAGTATGCAGTGTTAATGCTCTCAACACACCGGAGTCAGACGACGCGTATAAAATATTTTTTACTTTGATTTTAAAGTTTTCGTTGCTTAGCATCAGTAAGCCAGCCCCACCGCAGTGGACATTGTCCCGAGCCAACACAGTTCCGATAAGTTTGCGAACTCTGCATCCTGCATGTAGCCTATGTCACCGTCTGGGTCACTGGATGACAATTCATTTATTGTTGTCTATATGAGCCGTGAGCAGATGACAGATGTGCTGGTAATACTTCGGCAGGTGCTGTTTCCCTGTAATGTCACACTACGATGATACCTCTCTAAGTAGCTGCCCTTTCAGTATCTAAACAGAAAGTGTTTGTCCGAGGTAGCAGTATTAAAGATGTGTTGGAGGCATTCCCAGGCACAAAAATACTCATTTAAGGTTCTTGACACTAGTGTTTTTACTTAGAGTAACAATCCAAAAATATATAAAATTCGTTGTCAGTACTCCTTTAATGGTTTATAACTTCCTGAGGTGTTCATGTTCAAGAGATGTTGTAACGCTGGACAGTTGTGTATGTGCAAAATATGTTAGTTTCTGTTACATTTACTCATTGTAATGATGTGCAGTACTCGAAGATATAAACAGGACAATTTAGGGCAAAGTAAGGCAAATGCTGTGGTTTCCAGTGTCTTCAGTTTGGGTCATCTCGGCGTGATTTGGACTCGAACGCAAAGATCAGAGCCAACATTATCTTGAAAGACCACATTTGTTGCAACCTGGCGTGGTCATCTCAAGCAATTCCTAATACTACTTGTTATAATAAAATGTTGAGTTTGAATCCGTAAGTATGTGCACATTCATGCATATATGATTGACTGGCTCAGTGCTACCCGAATTCACATGATGTTTAATGATGCAGTGACACTACACAGAGATAGAAAACAAAGCTATGGGAGACATTTAAGAAATATGCAAAAATGTGAAACCATAGGTAGCTACGACAAATGAATATCATGATCTCAGTGCATTGGGTAACTGGTTCACACAACTGGGAATTTTTTTAGTATACTTTGATGGCATTACCTTTGCTAGAATACTTAAACCAGCGGAGTCAGTGCAAATTCATAAGCGGATATCGTTTATATGTAGTGCTTTGTTAACCTGTAGGCAGTGACACCTTTCTTGTCTTTGAGAGTAACTGCGTGGTTTTGTGCTTTATGTCACTGATGAATGGTGCCAGAGAAATGATGGGTTAACTGGGAATAATTTGATTGCTACTAACACTTAACAGTTGTAAATAGGTGGAGAGGACATTTGAGTCGAAGGAGAAAAATGACACTTTGTCATACCAGTTGATCTAGGTTTTCCTACCCTTGTGCACCAGCTCTTAATGTTGTCATGAATATACATGCAGCTGTGCTATTTGAGGGTTTTCACGAATACTTTACATTATTGGTTGACAGGGAAGCATTCTTTTTTCACACACAGGAGTAGAGACTGTTTTCACACCTGAAAGTGTGCAAAGTATAAATTTTTTTCTGCTAGCTTGGTTGCACATGTTCTATAATTTGCAGTTATTTTTTACTCTTGATGTACAGGAACAATAACAAAGTAATGGCTTGCATGTTGTCAGGCAAACTTACTATTATAACGGTTATTGCTTTTTTTTTGCTATGAAAATAGGCTTTGCTTGCTATGAAAATAGGCAAAGGGTGCCAAAACTAAAAGTGGCAAGGATGCCTCTGTGTTCCAATACCATCTTAATACAACACCATGCTTTAACACAACACTAAAGAGCTTGTTTCATGAAAATTCTTATGAGGGGGTTATTGAATTGACTGGAAACTGCCAATAACGAAAATCGTGCCTTTGAATCTCAATTGAACGTTGAATACAAGGTGTTCCACATGGCAAGAAGGCGTCCTGCTACAGTTCCACGCCACTGCTCGAAACTGTTTCGGAAATACGCCTATGCAGGTTTCATGTATTGTGAGGAGCCTAGTTCACTCATGCGAAATTGCGTGGCTCAAGGGTAAGACCACACTGGGCATCACATGATCTGAGATGCACGAGTGGGTAGTTTAAAGGCTCACCGGTTACAAAACGCTCAGGCATGGTTAGCCATCATCATCAGCAATAGCAGTAACAAAGTGTGTATGTCAGTAAATGCACATGATGTCTTACAGACATGCAGGGGGCACATTTGCACATTCATAAAAGGATAAATTATGCTGTGGTGGGCACTTTGCAACTCTGTACTTGCCATAGGCATTCTAGGAGAGCTTGAAATGGGGAGAATCTCCTTTCCTGACAACGTGGTTGTATCGTTGACCGAGAAGTGAAACATGCATAGTGAGCTAAAAGGCGTTGTGAATGTAACTTATTATGCCATAGTGTTCTACTCTTGAACGAGAAGCTCAAGAGTTCATCAAGTTTTTTTGACAGTTGACGTGAATTCTGGTTGACTATGTTATACGTGAAAGCTACTGTGGTTTGCATTATGAATCACTGAAACAGAACTCATTGTATACTCCATCCAAACGAAACGCTTTAAAGTTTCTATTTTTTTTTTTTCAGGCGACGACGAAAACGGTTCCTTTTGTTCAAAGAATTAGGAATACCAGGACCGGAGCCGAGTTTCTTTTCTGGCAACACTGCGGAAATTCTCAGTAAAGTAAGCTGAAAGCGTAATGTGATATTAGGTGTGCTCTCAGGCGTTAAAAAGGAAAAAAGCCGGCGTTTACGTCGAGCATCTATACTTTTCTAAAACATGAATAAATTTGAGAAACAGATCAGGTATGTTTGAATGTTCGGATGATATCTCGATGATGGCGTAGGACCCTTAGCACCGCTGTGTTAGTCGAACCAGCCCAGGCCACACTGTGGAACATTTGTGTGAGCCCACTGGCGGGTGCACATCTGTAAAATACGCACCATCTCTGATATTTCCTTGTGCTTAAGATGCAGATTTTCAAGGCGATTCACTATAACGATTGGTAAGCCATTGAATTCGGTTGGGTGTTTGATTTTCTGCTGTAACCACCACATTATGACATGACACGCCTCGTAGATCAGTTTTTTTCCCTGCTGTGGGAGCTTTTTGACTAAAACCAGCTGTCACAAGTCACTCTCCAGTAAATAGTGACTCAGCTTCCCTCCCCCCCCTCCTTTCACAGTCAGTCGACTTTCTGGAGAAGTGAACAGCCTGGCAAAGGAGTCCACACCAACTTAATAAGCCGATCAAAATCCGAAGGCTACAACTGTTGCGTAAATACACAGCGCTTGCAAGTTAAAATACGAAAATCTAGGGAAAAGGAATTCTCGTACTCTGGTTACCAGTTGCCACAGTTGATCTCATATTAATTTTAACAGCAAACACTTACATCAGAGGCAACGTTACCTTTGGTGGAATTTGCAGGGACATGTTATGGTTACTACGAGCCATTGCTCATAGCAGCTGTTATACGAGAAAAATTTGATGTTTTAATCTGTGAGTTTTGTACGTACCTCACTTTTCATGCTTGTGTAAGAAATCCACATGGTCAGAGTGAACCTGGAGTCTTCGATTATGGTGTGCTTTTAGGTGCTGCGTAGCTCTTGACACATTGTGCTGTAATACGTCACAGCTGCTTATGCCCTGCCTACTGTAGGGAGCAGAGAGAGGATTCTGGTATACGGAAGACTTTTTAGGGCACCGATTCGTACTTGAACAGTACACTTCCTTGTGTGTTGCATCTTTTAGGAAGTGGCATTTGTGGCAGTGAGATGTCCTCCATGTTTGCGCATTTTCTTTGGATGTGTTTCATTGGAGACAAAAGTGAGGACGGAAAAACTATGATTTGTCTAATCTTGTGGCCATTATTAATGTCTTAATGAACAATCTTAATTAGTCTTGGCATTTGTTAAGAATTCCACACATGTTTTTTTATCTGTGCTGATGTTCTGTAGTATGCATTTTACACTGCTTAGCGTGGGTTTCTCATGCCTGTTTCTTCTCTTGCATCTTTGCTGTCTAAAAAATGTTGTAGTTCGACTGTAGTTAAGGGCAGGCATGTTGCGTGTGCTCAAACAAGTAAACTATGTTGATTCTGCTTTTGAGTCATCGTGACTGACAGTCTTCCACATCTGGGTCAAGCCTAATTGTAGTGTGAGGGCAAATAATGTGTTATATATGATCTTTCCACATTCATGTGAGATCTTGGAATTTGGCATCATTGTTAGCATGGCGTAACCGTAGTAAGGCTACTACTGTGTACAGGCCTTATTACTAGAAAACAGGCTATTTTTCTGGTCTCGTACAGGATGTGGTGTTTTTAGTAGATAAATATTCCTAATCACTTTGCTTTTCTGATTGCATATCAAAACTTGCATCCCTATAAGCAGGTGTTCTTGTTACCGCAGGGGTCTGTGAAGGCATTTGATGAATGGACGAAGAAGTTTGGGGACATTGTGGGGTAAATATTGTTTTTTATTTTGCATGCAACAGTGAACAGTTTATGATATTATGTTTTCTTTCGTATGTTCTTATCAGACTGACAGGCTCTTGTGAGGATCAGCTTAAGCCTAAGTGAACAGGGCTAGTAACAAAATTCTGTATGTATCTGGCACCTGATTGATGTGTAGCCAACCCCTACATAAATGTATGTCCTAGTTCAAAATGAGCTTAGTGTGCACTAATATGTGCATAAATTTTGTTGCAGATTTTATAATGGTGGCACACCAGTTCTAATTGTGAAAAACACCGAGCTGCTTCGCAAGATCCAAGTGAAGGATTTCGGGAACTTTGCTAGTCGTGGTGTGAGTATTCATGAGGCTTTGACAAGCAATGATTTTGTGAAACGGAGAGTGAACGTTTTCATTAGAGTTTGCATGTATAAGTTCTTGGTCTCATTGGGAGGTCAAAGTTGCAAATGATGTGCATTAAGAAGTTAAAGAACAAATGATCTGCCCTTAATGTCTGTTGGTAGTGGAACAACCCTAAGCTGTAAATGTGTATAAGTTTTACACAGGTCCACTTCGTTAGGCAGAAGTGTTTGTGGCTCCATATCTTTCCCGACAAGTGTTTTCCCCTTGACCTCAAATGAGGTTTAACGGACCCCTGACAGTGAAAGTCTTACTTGCGTCTTTTTTGCAGTAATTTGTTTTGTTGCTTGTGGTAATGCGGAAAGTGTACCATAAGTGCTCTAACACACTGTACCTATAGTTATTGCTAGCATTGTTAATTCAGAATCATCTGTCTGTTTTAAATGCTTGCCCAAATACCTTATGAAATTAGCGCCCCACAGGGGGGAAGCACCTGAGATTACGTGCAGTCAAACTTCGGTGACGCCGGACGAGCTATTTTTCGAATTGGGGACTTGCGAACGGTGAAAACCAAAACTATATGGGGCCCTTGACCGTGTTCACCTCTGAAAAAAAGGAAAGCATTCCTGGTGTAAGCAGCCAAAACCACATAGAAAGCAGCCCGACAACAGAGCAAGAGGGGTGACAAAAAATAGTTTTTGCCAGGTGCCAGTTGAGGTGTTGTGTGTCCCCCACAAATGTTCTCCGATGTCGACAATACTTGCTTAACCTTTGCTATGTCATGGGGGGAACCTCTGTCTACACCTAACCTCAGAAATTGTCGATTGGACCTGAATGCTCGGATGAGCACTTACTTTTACTTTAAGACCAAATTAAAATACCTTATAAGCAACACTCGTCACTAATAATAGGTCAGAAGGGCCCTCACACTAGGGGCTCTCAAACGACGCAAGCGTTTGGAGTTTCAAAATTCCTTGTCAGGGGTCCTTTAAAGGCCTCCAGTACTTGATATACTGCTTTTCCTGGAAGATTCCTGACTAGTTAAAGAGCACTATTAGCCAAAATTGTATACCGTTGCACTTTGCACATTTTCTTGCATACGGGCGAATGCAGGTGGTGTCTGTGGCATCGCGTCATCACCGCATAGCAAGAACGAGTCTCACCAATGCACCAAGCGAGCGATGGAAAGAAATGCGCAGCCTCATGACTCCTGCATTCAAACCAAGCTCCATGAAATGTGTGAGAACGATTTTCAGCTGCCGTGTCACGGTTTGCAGTTGCACCGTGCCGTAGCTCAGTAATTATGTAACTGAAATGTAATAAAAATTATGAAACAAAAGACGAAATCATTGTACTGGGAAGGCACGCACTAAGAGGAAACATACGTGGTGTTCTGTAGCAAAAGCTTGTAGGTGCATGCTGCCTTGCTGTTTCATTTTTGCTTTTATTCCTAGACCTACCAGTTACTAGACGTGGTGATACAGTAGTTATGCTTTTCTGCCTCAGATGCTGAAATGCATGAGAAAAAGAAAGCTCACACTTGGGACTGATCATGTGGCTCGTAGCTTTCCGAGTGACTGTACACAACTGGTTTTCAGGCTGTTAGCTGCACTGAATGCAGGCAACGTTGGAAAGCCGTGTAGCATGACGGAAACAGGGGATATTAGTTTCTCTTCAACATTAGTGCAGTAATTGAGCTGTTTTGTGAAACTGTGATTGTAACTCTAATACTGACAAGAAAGCTTTCAAAAAAACAGTGATAACAACTTGCCTAGTTATTGGTAAACTGTTTATGGTTTAGTGCCAACTGCCAATAAAGGGCTTACGAGGCAGAGGAATCATGAAATTTTGTATCCATATATGTATCTATTCTTTATTATCAAGGCTTGACTTGTCTGAATGTAAATACGTAGTATTTTATTTGACCCTTTCAGATGCTTTGTAAGCAATTGTTTATGCAACTTGTTTTGGTGAGTTGGGCCTACCACTGCCTAAAAAAGAACAAGATATGTCGCGTTTTGCCAGAATTGAACGTCCTTCATAATCAATGTGTCTTAATTTAATTTCATTTTTTTTTGTGTACTGCTGCATTCAAATGATCACTTTACTGAAGGCACTGCTATGCTCTATGAACTTTTCGAAGTGCTGCTTGCTCTTACCCACGTAAAAAGTATAATCTTTGTTTGCTCAAAATGAACGTGACCGAAAACAAAGTTGCCCTATATTTTAGCCTGAGATTCCATTCTGTGCGAAAATGGAACGGGAACAACTTCCTGTTAGCAAGTTTTTCAAGAACATTTTAGCTAATGAAACAAAAATTAATGTATTATAACACTCTTTTTAGTCCAATATAATATAGTGCGCCTAGGAATAATGTGTTAATGCCCCACCGTGATGGTCTAGTGGCTAATGTACTTGGCTGCTAACCCACACGCTGCGATATTGACTCGGCTGTGGTGACTGCATTTTCGATGGAGGCGAAAATGCTGTAGGCACGTGAACTCAGATTTGGATGCACGTTAAAGAACCTTCCGTGGTCGAAATTTCGGAGCCCTCCACTACAGCGTCTCTCATAATCGTGTGGTTTCACGACGTTAAACCCCACATATTAATCGAATAATGTGTGAATTCGACTCATTTACACACTGTTATTTGTAAGTAGCACTTCAAAAGGTCAAAGATGTTTCAGATGAGAATGATTATCAGGTTTTTTCTTTTTTGTATGGTACAGTTATGACAGAATAGAACGAAGTGAGGAGAAAAGGTAACTTTAGGTGGAGAAATTTTATTTGAGTATGTGCTCACTTGCAACACAAAATATTTGCAATTCTTTTTAATTATTATTGCTTTTTCTTAAACAGATGCTTTCACTTGTTCAAAGTTGTGTGGACACCTTCATGAAGGTAGTGGCGGCCAAGCAGACAGAAGCAGCTTCCATGGAAGTGCGGGAGCTCTTTCAGAAACTCTCCATGGACATCATCGCGCGTTCCGCATTCGGCACGGAGACTGGAATCCAGCAAAGCCGAGGAGGCACGGCTGCTGATACGCTGCTGGACCTAATTCAGGACAGACTGGGAGAATACAAGAACGGATGGCTCATGTACTTTGCAAGTAAAGCTTGGCACCTTACCATTCATGATGACGCGTATTGCTTTCCCTTTTTGAACTGTAGTGCATACCTGCCAAGACTCTTGGATTTTGAACGTTTCTCCCGGGTCTCTTTTCAAACAGGGATACCAAGGGTTTCCTTTAATATTTTCAACCTAGCACCCATGCGGACCACCTTTCTTCCATCCTTCTCCTCCTCCCCCCCCCCAAAAAAAGCCAGCGTAATATGTAATTCCAAACATCACCATGTTCTTTTATTATACAATTTGATTCAGCTGTACACATGGGGTGTCTGAAATCTTAATGCCTTGTCATTCGTTCTGATTAAAGATGGCTTTCTTGTTGTGCTTCATGGAGAGTGGTCGCACGGGTTGTCAGTATGAAACCGCACATGTAGCTTCAAACTAAATTTTGGTGAGAGTCAGCCCAGCAGTGTTTGTTTTGATCTTTCATTGTTTTGGTCACTTGTTTGAGATGGTCGTAAACCATGGACAGCTAGCCCAGTTGTATATGTTTCTGCACTCCTTTCTATTCGTTGTTTAGAAACAATTTGCAGATTGCACTCAATTACGGTACTAAGTCTGAATATACTGGCTTACTTCGAATTCGCTGGCTTTGTTCCCAGTTCGAGTCGGCTCTTTTACATTGTTCCCAGGTTGAATGCAGTTCGAAGGGATTACAATAAAATAACGCCCATTTGCTTGGATTTAGTGGGATCATGTGAGGAAGCCTAGAGCACTCTCCGCCGTGGTAAGCCCAGAATAAAATTCCTCACTCTTTGATGTAGAGAAAGACATCTAAACACTGTGCAGAAGAGTGCTTGTTTCCTGACAAGAAAGAACAGTCAGCTTGTTGAAGTTTGGCTAAGTTTAAACGCTCCCCCTTTTTAAGAACGCTATCAACTGATTCAGCACCCTACCATCCTATCTACCTTATGCTTCGCTTTGACATTGCAGATGTAGGGTACAAGCACTTTGAGTGTCTCTCTGAAAGGTTGATTCAATAATCTTGTTTATCACTGCTGTAGTCTGTGATTTTTTTTGTACTTTTTCATTCTTACAGATTGTTTTCCAGAATTTTACTACCTCTGGACATTCTTGTTTTCTCGTGGCAAACACTCCGTGATGACGCCGACGGACTACATTAAAAACAACCTGGCTTCACTCATTGAAGAAAGGAGAGCAAACAAGCAAGTGTGTTCATTCGGCTTTTTTTTATATACATTGTGTCTGTAGACTGAAGTTCTTTTATCAGTTAGTAAATCGTCATTACAAAACTAACACATGACATGTCTTGATTCGAACTACAGATTACGTAACTAGAATGCGACATTCACATAGAATCAAAGCTTTAAGGCAAAGAGTCAATTCATTTAAATATTCTTTCTTTCCTCGCACAATCAACAAATGTAATAATCTGTCTAAGGAGGCTTTAATCCAAACGTCTTTGGTATTAATCGAAGAGCATTCGATTTGAAGTATTTTTTGACCTGTTCTGACTGCATTGCCACAGCCTTGTCGCTATTTTTTGCCCAAATGTACGTTTTTTTCATGTTTTTGTACCACTCTGCTATGGTCTAACTTATACCACATTGTTTATAAATAAATAAGTAGAGAGAAATAATTTAGTATATTTTTTCTTTGCTTTTTCTTGTTTAGGTTGGTTGCACTTTTGTTTCTTGGGATCATAAGCAAAGTATTTTTGGAAACATTTTACAGCTTTAATGACCAAAAGTGCTTTTATATTGGTATCGCAGCCAGTTTCAATTATGATGGGGACCAAGCTTAATTGAGCTTGTACGGCATTGACTGCAGGAACACGGTAATCTTCGATTGTTACCTAGCCCAACATAATTCACGCATTGAAGTTTCGTTCTTTCTAACACGTACTAACTAATGTGTGTACCCCTGAGCTCTGGAAATTGTTGAAAAGAAGGAGTACCTGCTGAGAAAAAATAGTTCACAAAAATGTTCTATAAAAAAACAAGTGGGCTTTAAATTTTAAATAGTATCTAAATTGGGACACATTTGGTGGACATGCGCTTGTAGACATGACACCGCCCAGTTCTGAGAGTTCGCTCAGAACCAGTTGCGCACATTAGGGCATCTTTTTGTCACATTTTATAAAACGTAGGTGTTCATCTATCATGCCTTTCATTGCCTTTGCAATGTGTGTGGTGTCAGCATTGCATAACATTCTTTGCAGAAAAGGGGAAAACACTAGTTTGTACGTAGATTTCATGGTAGCATTAAAAAACACGGACAGAGGAAGGACAGAATGCCACAAATCTGTAGGTTGGTCCTTGTGGTGTCTCGTTCTTTCCCTCTCCGTAATCTTTCACACTGCAATGAATCCTGTCAAGCAAGCCGAATGACGATTATCGATTGTGAGACGAAAGAACTCCCCGAAGTGTGTGAACATTCTCTGAAGTCATTGTGTAATCGTGCACTTCTGATTTGAATGTGCCAAGTGGGACATGCAGAGTCTTTCGTACGACACAGGCAGAACGCGAGGACCTGTTGCAGCTGATGTTGAATGCTGAAGAAGAGGCCGACTCCCTGATTGATGTGCAGCAGCTCACCGTGGGGCACGAGGAAGAGGAGGTTGCTTGTGCATGTGAGTCTGATAATATAAGACTCAGCTGCTCACAGGAGCCTTAACTACGGATCACAAACTGTTTCTAACTAGTACATAGAATATAGCCAACTCGGTATGTAGGTTGGCTAAATGTGTAGCCAGTATGTGTGCTGAGTCGAGCTATCCGCTTCAAGTAAAAGTCAGCACTGGTATGTAAAAAAAAAGGAAAAAAGGAAGTGCACGAGTCTCTTATGAATAATATAACAATAATTGTTAAGGTTTACGACCCTGAAACTATGATATAATTATGAGAGACGCGCGCCCCCTAAGAAGCTTCTCAAACTTGATAGAACTTGAAACGTGAACAGGGGCCTCATTTGCGCTCCATAAAGATGTGCTTCATTTAGCAATCATCAGTGAAACACACCTATTAAGTCTGGTATAGTATGCTATAATGTGCTAGTCACTGTTCATTGAATTTTACTGCCTGTTGCCTGTAATATTGTTCACCGAAATTTATGGAGCTTCAATAATTTGACATTCACGGTACCGGGAAATGTGTATATGAACCAGAGTAATAGCTAGATATAGCTTATTGAACACATAGCACTTGGTAACTTTATGTGCTTTCGTGGACTCCCTGTGCATTCTTCGCATGCGACTACATGAAGGACAAGCGAAAAGCTTTCGGAATATTATGGGGGAGAGAGGGAGTAAGGGAGAGTGCATCTGTTCAACGGTCAGAGGCTGATTTAAGCTTTTTAAAAAAAAAAGCCAGGCCTGCGCGGAGCGCACAGCACAGTCACAGTGAATGCTAGAAGATCGGCTTTTCAGAGCCTTTTCTAAACACTCTTTGGGATGCTACAAGCATACTGCTGGGTACTCACTACACCATGAATAGTCATCAATATTGTGAGTAGGCCGCCATTCACTATGCTATCCTTCGTCATTCTTTGGAGAAACGTGGCATCTGCTACACACTTGTTGGAAAGTTTGTTCATTTTTTTTCATGCAGTGGCTGGCGATGATAAATATTCCGGAAGTAGTATATTTACCATAAATAGTTAGCACAGTTGGAAGTGTGAGGTACCTATTAAGGAGGTATTTCAGGTTTTGTTCCTGATTTATCCAATCTATTAACTACCGTAATTATTCGAATCTAGGCAGATAGTTTTTTTTTTTTTTCAAATATCTTTGCATCAAACACTAAGGTCAGCTTAGATTAGGGAATTTCAAAAAAACATGTCATTTTTTATTGAGAAAAGCTATGCACAGCTAGTGCCACCTGGACGTCATTATAGCCGTTAGAAGCCAAGCTAATACCTGGCTCAAGTACACACGTGAAGCCACCATTTTGATAACTGCGGTAAAGTGCAATTTTGACTAGCGTTAAAGGCGAGTGCTTGTCATGATGAGTCGTGCTTCGAGTGTTCTGTGTGTGGTGTAGCTCAATGACGCCAAACAGGTGGTGTCATTATAGTGCTGCTTATAAAAGGAACGTTTTCCTGGCTACTGAGTCATCGTCCAACGTTCAATCTGGGCGGGACTTTGGAGTGGAGCTTCGCTGGAGGGACTGCAGCGTGGCACAACAACCCGGGAACTTTGATCGAACACTCTTTTAAGTAGTGCGGAATATCCAATGCCCTTGATGGCATTGAGAATTGTGCACTGTTTCAAGACAGCGACAAAGATGTCACCAACGAGGGAAGCAGTGACGACAACTCGGAATGAGTGCGGGATCGGCAAGCCCTTATGATGCAACTAGAAGCAACGCGAAAAAAACTGACAAAGGAATACATGCAACAGGACTTGTGGCTGTATGTTTCTGAAGTTATTTGTTTCATGAAGGAACTGCTTTGTTCCATCTTCATGTTCAATAACATTTTATATTTGTGAATGCTGTCTTTGCTGTTTCATTCGACCAACATTCGAGGCAAGTATTTTTTTCTTCTTCTTGGGCTTCGGATTTTTAGGGGTCGGGTTAGAATCGGGGTCGGCCGAAATTCAAGTAAATACAATATGTGGCATTCAGCATTTTAGTTATAGATGTTACCCCAAAATAGTAGGCCTCAAAACAAAATATGGAATCTGTTTCTAATGATCGTGAATGTTCATGTGGAGGAGAATTGATGAACTACGTTCAACAAGATGAAAAATGTTTTTTTGGTTGGTGAGAAATACTCCTTGTTTGCGGTTTCCCGTTACTCAGCCTTTTGGTATCTCTTTATGAAAAAGCTACTATAAGAATATTAGATTTAGCAGTTCGGTAAATAAGTATGTAAAATATGTATTGTTGAATTTCTGTAGCTCTGTCACAAGGCTATTTTGAGATTGAAACCTCCAAAGTTGACATAAAGATGTTTCCTGGGCCAATTTATAGGTTTTTCTTCTTTCATAAAAACATCTACAGTATGCATAAAAACTAAAATAGCTGTACAGAATCAGAAACATGCATATATTCAGTTAATAAAATTCAAGCTACTTAGCTTGTTGTATGCTACATAATTCATAATCAAACTTGGTCAAAACATACAGCTCCATTCCACCTCTTGGTTGTTATTGATTCTCTGAGCTCTAAAAATATTTCTGGCTGCAAAACAAATTATGGATCTCTTCTTTCCACTCATCAGGCAATATTTAGAATTTGTGATAAATTCAAGTAATGAGCCAGCCTTTCTTTGACCTTACGTGCCATCACCCATTTGTATGTTTGTGTGTGCTGTTGAGTAAACTTTCTAATAAAGAAAATGTTACGTACGCAGCACATTTTTAAAAAGTTTATATGTAGCTGCATCTGAAGCCATCTAGGCTACAATAGACACACTCTTATGAAATTGTAGTTTCATTTGTTATTCAATTTTTGTTGCACTGTGACTTACGAGACGAGGACAATACAGGGACTTCAGGACAGGTGGTACAGAACACCACATTTTCTGTAGCGCATTCCATCGCTTCTTCTAAGAATTTCATTTGAGAAAAGATCCGACTGAAATTTCACTTGTAATTTGTAAAGTGTAATGTACTGGTCTGTGTTCGTAGTGCTCCTTATTTTCTACTTACAGACATGGCTTCCCATAATTCTATTCAGTCTATCCATCACTGAAAGTCTATCCCATCATTGAAAGTATCAATGATGGGATAGACTTTGCAGACCTTTCCAGGCTGCTTGACTACTTTTTAAGAATCTTGGGTGCTGGTAAACACTTTGTGCATGGGCAGAACTTCATGTTACTGCTTGGCAGTGCCATAATATTTATGAAAACTTGCCTTTGATGTCATTTTTGTAGAGTAGATTTCGCACTTTGAAGGATCTACACGTTTACGTAGATTGTTAATCAAGGAAAAATGAGGATAGCAACTAACTACTTTACTTCTTAGGGACATATTTTCTAAATATTTTCGTTGAATTAGATCATGTAATTATAGAGCTCGACTGCGGATCCAAAATTTGCGTAATCAAATATCGGCTGTTTCAATAGAGGATAATAAAATGCTTGAGGCTTGCATACTTGGATTTAGGTTCCCACCAAAGAACGTCAGGTGAAGGACATTTCAGGAACCCTCCACTGCGGTGCTCCTCAATCTTATTGTGGTTTTGGGATATTTACCCTTTGAATGTTTTTGCTGTACATGTGTGGAGACTGTTTTCTGTCATAGAGTCTGCCGTGCGGGTACGTTTACGATCCTCCACTAGAAATTTTGCACCGTAATGATGATGCGTGCTCACTGGGAAGTGCTGCTACCTCTGAGGACTTGCAAGAAGCATCGGAAATGATTGCGCTGCCTTCGTGCAAAGACAAACGAAACTGATTTCTAGTGTCAGCGTGTCACGCGGTGTGCGATAACGCCAATGGGCAATGCCCTTTAGTAGTTTTGGTTTCGCCACTTGGTCTCAATGAACGCACATGAAACTTGATTTTGATCTTTATCAGAACTGACTTGCCGGGATGGTGAAAGTTCGTTTACATCTTTATTGGTGGTGCTTTTAACTTGTTTATCACTGACACTCACGAGCTATCCCCATTTTATTGTGATAGCAATTATATTTAGTCTGAGCTGGTTTTTGCCGCCGCCACCATCATGCACCGTAAATGTATACGTATCTATATATATGAAAACTCAAGAAAGAAAAATAGTCGCCCGTGCTCGGCACCCAGCTCGTCGCGATGCGCCAACACGTGATTATCTCCCACGTGTACTTTGCCTCGTGGATAAAGGCGGGGGGGTGGGGGGGTTAGGTGCTAGGGTGCCCGCACTTATCCTTTGGTGGAGAGAATCGTGTGCCTTGGCCTTTCACCAGAAAGATTGTTTTTAGTTGCCGGGCGCACAAAGATCACTTCGCTTGCTGCAGGCCCCGTTTGCGAAAAGAGCGTGCTTTTCAAACAAAGTGAAGCAACAACTGGCACACTCATTAGTTTGCACTGATATCTGTACCTGTGGTTACTTTTTGTGCGTCATTTTTTATTAAACAGCGCGTTAAGTGTCGAGCTGTAAACATTGTTAGCTGTTGTCCTGTGTGTGTTGTTTTCGTGCATCATTTGTGCGTGAGCAGCGCGCTGCACATTTCAATCTGCTAGCCGTTCTCAGCATTACATTCTAAGTTGTTGCTATCGCATTCATTGCTTTGTACTTGTGGCAAACTTGTGACTTTTTTTCTTCATTACCGAGTTTATGTGACCCAAGGCAGCCACATGCAGAGGAGATGCTGTATGTTTACCAGCATGACTTGTTGCTCCAAGAAAAGAACGGAGACGTGTGTTATGTGCACAGACGTAAGCCAGTGTTTCAAGGAGTACTATGCTTTGATCGTTTTGCAGTTTTTAGAAATGCTTACATTGAAGAACTCTTCCCGATTATTTTGCAATTTTTTCACGCCTTTACGCATTTCATACATTCGAAAATGCCAATAAAAGTAATTTGATCATTCGAGAAATTTTGTTTCATAAAAATTTGACACTCAAAGACTCAAGCCCTCAAATTAATAAACTAAAGCTGATTCTCATTGGATTCAAGTACAGCTGCCAGCTGCACACATAGAACATACTTGTTATTCAATTAACGGAAAATATTGCGGTTGTCAAGAGTAGCTCTCAAGCATTCGTTTTTAGGGACGAAGTACCTTAAGACTCCACAATATCCCTCCGTCCATCAACCGTCGTTCCGCATCTAAAGCAGATGTAGTGCAGGTGCATGTAAACAAACCGAAGCATCTGTAAACAATAAAAAAGTTAGTGGAAGGCTCTTAACCAGAACAAACAAAATGAAAGGCCACAACACCATAAAAACATCTACATTTAACCACTCATCAATTAAAGTATATAACAGAACAAAAAGTTAAAAAGAACTAAACAAAAAGACTCTCGATCAAAACGAAATGGAATGCCACAACACCATAAAAGTAGCACAAGTGGCACTGTTAACAACAAGGTACCCCAGAGCTGAAGGTGCAGCAAGCGGTGGTTGAACACCCATCATCGTGGCTGACTACTGTCTTTTCTCTCATAGCAGAGTATTAAGTACTCTATATCATAAAACACTTATTCTAAACACACAAATGCCAGAAGTGTTGTCTACTGGAAGTGGAGACTCTTTTACATGCACGAGTGGGCAGTGTCTCTGGTGGTTTATAGTAACACTGAACAATCACCAGTGCCTCACCCACTCATCACAATTCACTTCGTGGAGATGCGTGGATTTTACTTTTAGCTACGCAATTCAGAACAGTAATTGCATTGTACTGAAATAAAATCAGAACCAAAATTAGGTAGCGTATGTGGTATATGGCAAATGCCTGCACATTGTCTTGTATACTGGTGTTTTCCAGCCCTTGAAAGTGTTCCAGTCATCCGCAAGCGGCGGTTTATGACCACAACAGAGATTCAATCCAATGCAGTCATGTTCCTTGTTGCTGGGTGAGTGCGGTGAACTTTATTTTTTTATGTGAACACTTACGATCACAATACCCAGATGCTATCCTCATGAAGACTTGGAGTTTCTCACTAACAAAATGCACTATCATTGCCGTCGTGACAGTTTTAGTATCATTTAGGATTTAATAATGCTGTGAATAACTTTCGTTTCAGTTCTGTGTCAGTGCAGTCTCCTTGCCTGTATCTGAAACTCTGATGCTTATGCTGTATTTTCTCTTAGTTTTATTTGTTTTCAATAGATAAATGAGTTCAAACATTTGCTTAGTTGAACCGTGCTGTTTCGTGAAATAAATTATGCTTGATGTGCAAGGGTTGTCGAAGCCTTTGCTGTCACTGCATAATGAGGAGTGAAATACTACTATTACGAGAACTCGTTTCATGTTTGCATTAAGTGTTGTACTTTCTCACGTTGCCATGAAGAACAGGCGAGTGCGGTAATATTCCATAAGCACATGTCTAGGCCAGTAAAGTTGATAGTTGAGCAAGTTGGTCACAGTTGATGAGTTGGTGGTGCTGCTTTACATGCAAAAATGAACTTGTCTGGGTCATAGCGTAGTGAACATGTGGTACATAACAAACACTTGTAGTAACAGTATTGGAACTGAACAATATTTTTTGTGACCTGTACTATAAGGGACACGCTGCTCGCATGCATTAAGTACGTATTTTGTAGCATATTCATCTCATTCATGTCAAATGCATCTCTGAAGATATCATTCGTGCCTCGAGTGTGTGGCTGCTAGTTCCATGGAGCATTTGTTTTTAAAATACAGGTTGTTTTTGCCGAATGTTCCAACTGTTCGGACAAAGTGGATGCCTGAATTTATATAAGAGCCTGTATTCACAAAGCCTCAGTGAGTGCACACCCAGGCATCGTGCAGGATGTGCAAGTGGTCGGCAAGATACGATGCAGTTACCATAGAATGGTACAGTCTCGAATTCGCCTAGACTTGGGGAAGGAACGACAGAAACTGATACGCAAGAAGCCACTCAATGAGCTAGCACTTAGAGGGAAGTGGATGCCTGAATTTATATAAGAGCCTGTATTCACAAAGCCTCAGTGAGTGCACACCCAGGCATCGTGCAGGATGTGCAAGTGGTCGGCAAGATACGATGCAGTTACCATAGAATGGTACAGTCTCGAATTCGCCTAGACTTGGGGAAGGAACGACAGAAACTGATACGCAAGAAGCCACTCAATGAGCTAGCACTTAGAGGGGAAGTACAGGAATTCTGAGTCTCGCTTCAGAACAAGTACTTGGCTCTTAGTGAGGAAAGCAACCTTAGCGTCGATACAATGAATGATAATCTGACGAGTATCATTACGGAGTGTGCAGTGAAAGTTGGAGGCAGGGTAGTTAGACAGGACACTGGCAAGCTTTCCCAGGAAACGAAGAATCTCATTAAAAAGCATCAAATCATGAAAGTCTCAAGTACAACAGACAAAATAGAACTGGCAGAGCTTTCGAAGTTGATTAACAGGCGTAAGGTATCTGATGTAAGAAAGTATAACATAGAGAGGAATGAACACGCTCTGAAAAACGCAGGAAGCGTCAAAGCAGTGAAGAGGAAACTTGGGATAGGCAAAAATCGGATGTATGCACTAAGGGACAAAAAAGGCAAAATAACTACCAATATGGATAGGATAGTTAAAATAGCGGAGGAGTTTTACAGAGATCTGTACAGTAGCCGGGACAACCACAACTTTAATACTATAAAAACTAGTAGTAACCCAGATGACACTCTACCAGTAATGATAGAAGTCAGAAAAGCTTCGGGGAGCATGCAAACAGGCAAAGCTGCTGGTAAGGATCAGGTAACATCAGATCTGCTGAAAGATGGAGGACAGATTGTGTTAGAAAAACTAGCCACCGTATTTACGAGGTCTTTTTCTTTTTTTAGTAAATCATTTACAAGTTTTTAATTTAGTTGCTTCACACCCAGCCCTCTGAGCATGTGGCATTGTGCTTTAACATCGGCTCAGGTTCGAAACAACTGGCACTACCTTGTCGTTCACGTCGTACCTGCTAGCTAAGCACCCGGACATCCAAGAGAGAACGAGGAAAGAAATACTGTCAGTCATCAAAGATGAGGTAAGGGGCAGCTTCATGCGGTTCTCTTCGAACATCATCTGCCATTAACTTATCTCGCTCAGTAACCCTTTCAGACGCTACCTATGAAGAACTGTTTGTAGATGCGTCAAATCACTACAACATTACTTCAAGGCACTCAATATGCTATTGCGACAAGAATAATGAGATAATTTCCGATTTAGAGGTGTAATAACAACTCATCCTAATTGAATTTTAGTTGATTATCTTTTTACCCTAAAGTCATAGATGCTTGCTTTTCACATAAATAAAATAAGCTCTCACGCAACGATTGTAGTGAAAATGTATTTTCTGTTATGTTCATTCTGAGCCCAGAAAAATTCTTCTTCTTACATTGCTCGAAGGAAGGGGCACGTCACACAACTCGTCAAACGGGGTAGTTCCTCCAGAAAAGTGACCATATGGATTAGCGCACTGCAAAACGAGGTTAGATAAAAACTAATTCATATGCAGGAGGTTCAATTCATCCAAAGTATGTAATATCTTGCTCTTTCCTAGCATCTACTTTACGCTAATAGTGAAGACGAGTGATGTACACAATTGTGTACATAATGTTTCAAAGGGCTCAGTCAGCTTGTGCATATAAACAGAACCTTAATCTGGGTTTTCTGAAAGTTAAAAAAAAAAATAAAATATATTATTGCAGCTTCGTACTAGTGATGCCGAGTCTGGAGGAAGAGCACAGCTGTGTGGCCTTGCTCCTCTTTATTTTTGTCTTTCTTTCATCTCTCCCCTGCTTTTTCTCTCGGTTTCTTGTGTCTGTTTTTGTACCCGTTGCTTTATATTTAATTTTTCCTCTCTCGCTTCGTTTTTCTCTTTCCTTTTCTCTTCGTTTCTCTTTTTTTTCTCGTCTTGCTCTCTGTCTTTTTTTATCATTTTCTTGTAGCTTTCTTTTTGTCTTTTCTAACTTTTTATATCACTGTTCTCGCATTATTTTCCTCATTTTCTTGCTTTCTTCATCACTTTCCTTCTGTCTTTATTTTGTGTTTCACGTGCTCCCCTTCACCCTAGGCGAGGTTTCGTTTCACACTCGCACCTGCTGTATTCGGTAGTGAGGCTGGCCCAATTCCTGTGACGCAGGCTCACCTGTGGTTTTTTGCATGCACCAGTTTTAATAGCCAGCACGAATAGCTCCTCTGTGAAAAAAAAAAGTTTTACGATCCATGGGTCCAACCCTTGTTTTGCACATGCCTAATAATTAATACAGGTGCCTTTGTGGTGCCGCTATTTAGATTCAATGTAGCTGCTCTATGAGGAAGTCTGAAATTCAAAGCAATGATGCACCTCGCCATCAAAACTTTCGGGACATTGTGTGCTTGAAACAGCAATAGTCGAAGCCACCACTGCGGCACTGCTAGTTATATTGCAGTTTCAAACGAGCACCTTTATGGCAGCAGTAATAGTTTTCAGAAATCCGTGCCACCACATTGGGAGGTTTCATGCGGTCAGGCATGTACACAGTACCGCAGTGAAGCATACCAAGAATGGAAAGGGACCACCATCATGGGACTTAACTTGTTCTTTAATTTTACATGTGCTTGCTAGCTGTGTCCGGTCTGGCAGGTTTTGTGAGCTACCATAGAAAGTCATGTGAGGGCCATATGTTAAAAAAAAAATCTGAGTTGTATTTTTGTGTGTGCTGTGCATGCACGAATATTTGACATTTTTATTTCGTTGTATGATGCTCGCACTTAAACTCTGTTGTCAAAATTGGAATCATCTCTTTTTCTGTAATTTTGCACAGAACTGGGTGCAGAGCACCGCATCATTGGTGCTGTACACCTATGACGCAAGCAAGGTGTGACGTTTAAAATCCATAATTGAAAGGAGATTGTAGAAGAATTTCAATAATAATGTCCAGCGAAGTTGATTTCGGGCAGGCCTCAGCCCCAAATCAACTGCCAAGGGCTCATGGCCCTTGGCATCGGCCACGAGTCCTTGGTTTCGGGCGGCTTCCTCAGTTCGCTGAACGGCCCACAGTTCTTTGAATGGGGAGCTGTGCAGAGCCTCCTCCCAGCACCCCTGCGGTTTGAGACTGCCTCTTCGTGGTTTTTGTTCTGTCGTCTAAGCTTGAGCAATCCCATAGTATGTGGGCAGTGTTGCCTTGTCATCACAGACCTTGCATTTTTCTGTGAAATACAGATCAGCGTATACGCTAGAAACTGTAAGTATCAAGTCTTTGAGATCTGTGTATTTGGCCTAGAGCTGCTGTGCATGAAGTTCAGTCATGTTCAGGTTCCCCACCTGAACGTGACTATCATCATCATCAAATCTGCACCATGTTTTCCTTGGCGTGATCCTGTGCGCGTTATTTCTTGTTTTCGCATTTCTGAGTTGTTGGGCAAGTTTGATACTTATGTTTACTTCTTTAACAGCTTTCCCACTTCACTTTCCCAGCTGTTGCCTGAAATCACTGTGCTTATATCACTGCTTGGAGCTTTTTGAACATACAGCATACTTGTCTACATGTAGGCATGTACTTTTACTTTTCTACATTTCTCACAGAATGGCTTAACATATGACAGTTTAATCAAAATGCGCTATTTGGACCAAGTTATCTCAGAAGCTCTTCGCTACTACCCAGTTGTGGTTGGGTAAGTGTCATTCCTTGTAGACAGTTAAAAAAGAACACTTTTGAAACATTGCTGTATGTTATAAAATACATTTCTGCATAGCCATCTTTGTCGCGTGGGCTACTAGAAGGAATGAGCCGTACAAGAAAATATTCTTCCAGACCTGGCTTTGGCAACATTTCTAGTGTTGAATAAGCTACCTAGCTTTGACAGAAACATAGAGCTTCTATTCAAACACTTTCATTATGAGAAAACAAACTGGAGTGAAGAACTTTTTTGCTGGCTGATCTGAATCAAACCTATGACTTCACTCGCTCCCGTTATTGGTACTATTCCAACTATGCTATGTGGGCATCAATACGTGCATATGTTCGAGTGGCCTTTTTTTTACTATGTGAAACAAATCCCCTTCCAGAGAGCCAATTCCTAACGATACCGAAGTACAATGTTGAGTACATCGTACTTCAGACGGATTGATTCTGAAGACCAATTGATTCAACATCAATCAATTGGTCTTGCATTGTTGTTTTTCTTTAAGAGAAAGCAACAATGATGTTCAATGACTTAATATTGTCATTTCTGTTGAAAGCTTAGTGCTTCTTTACATTTTTATAGTAAACAATATTTTTTTATTCACGTGAAACGAGTGCACGGCTTCATCACAATTACACCATGGCACTATGCGGCTGCAGACTTTTGACTTGTGCCTTTATGGGTGCATTTAGTTACTGTGAGTCGAATTCATTAGCATGAAGGGAACCCTGAAGAGATTTGTAGAATGGAGAGAAGAATTTCGCAAATTTTAAAACATGGGAAAATCCCGAAAGGAGGGCTTACTCTGGTTAAGAGAAATGTTAATTTGTGATTCAGCCTGATTTTACAGCTTTTAGTATTTGCTATTGAAAGAATCAATATAAAGACAATTGTATGTGCAAGGAAGCCAATAAAAGTGCTCGAAACTGTACTATGCAAAGAAATTACCGAGATTCGTATACTTCTCTTCCTAAAGCAACATTAACCTGGTCAGGTTTACTTAGTACACACACTTTATGTGCTTTTTGTAGGACAGTTCACCCTTCAAATAGTGGGTACATAAGCCAAAGTAAGTCTGACTGTTGAACTTACTATTTAGGTTTTTATTGGGTACAACACGAGAAAAACGGTTCAGTTATTTTTATTGTCATAGTAATTATGTAAAATAATTCATATTATTTGAATTATAGCTGTATAGCTCGTCTGTGCCTGTTTTTCAAGTTTTATCATGGATCGCCTCGTACTCCCACCATCAAGCCAGCCCATCGTCATTCAGACCGCATCAATCACAGGAAAGCTGTTTACCCGCCAAGAGCTCACACCACTGCGCACCTTTCATCCTTTTTTGTCAAGACCGTACAAGATTGGAATGGCCTTCCTCCTCACGTTGCGCACCACTCCAGTATCATCAACTTCAAAGCAGCGATCGAGCATCTACTCCTTTAACCGATTGTAATAGCCCACCCCTCATGTAAAACCCCTTCATTGGGGCCTTTGAGGTACTGTAAATAAATAAATAAATATAAAAATTTTAGGTGCGAAGCATCCTAGATGCTCGGCTTGTCACATCTCCTGCCATCACAGTTTGTCATCATAAAGTGAACCTCGCATGACGATGTGATTTTATCATGTCATCATGATGACACAAGGTTGACTAAATTTGTGAGGCAATCGCAACGTAACCAAAACGTGGCGAAGCACCGTAAGGCATTGGCTTGTTAGCATCTAATGCCATCACGTCATGCATCATGTAGTCACGGTTCATTATGAGAATGGGTATTCACCACGAAAATTGAGTAAATCCCACTCCTCACGGCCGGTGCTTTAAAAAACACCAGGCCTGCCGGAACGCGCTGAACAGTCACAGAGAAAGCTTGAAGGGTGGTCTTTCAGAGCCTTTTCTAAACACTTTTTTTCTAAACCCACTACACCATAAGTAATCATAATTTTTGAGTAGTAGGCCACCATTCACTATGCTATCCTTCGTCAGTCTTAGGAGAATGGGGGTATCGGCTACACACTTGCTAGGAATTTAGTGCAGTTTTTTATGCAGTGCCTGATGATGATGAGGAATTATGCCTCATGTGGGTATGCGCCACAGTTGGCAGGTAATCAAGAACAAGTTTTCTAATGGTTTGGAGCATTGGACGACCCACTCGTTATGCAACTCGCATTGTGTGACGCCTGGTTGTTCTTTTGATGTTCTAAAACGCTTTATCACTTATATTAGCGCAGTTCCTTTCCTGACAACGAGCCTGCCTAAGGCCAGTTACGAAACGAGTTTCAAGCACTGGCGTGGCTCAGTGGTAGAATACTTGGCTCGCACGCAGCACACCCGAGTTCGAATCCTTTTCTGTGCTTGGTGTTTTTTTATTTACGGAGTTTTTTTTAAATTTCGTGCGATACTAGTTACGGACAGCGATGGCGGACAACTATGGCGCCGCGCGTGATCCAGGTTCTTATCTCATAACAGTTTTCGTTTTAAAATGAAGAAGGAAACAGGTTACTCAACAAGTCACCAACAATGTTAGTGGAGCTTAAACACTCTTTTCTAGATGTTAGAGAGAACTGAATCCCAGCATGCTCAGATGAAGAAAAAAAATGAAAAGACATTTGTCTTTCGCCTGGTTTCACCTTAGAGGGACTGAAAGACTCTTCCATACATGTTTTGCTCGTCTCAAGTTTTTTTGTGCAATCTCGCAGTTTCACGATTTGAGTCGCTTCCAATTGTGGACTATTGCTGAGTAAATTACACTGGTTTTCTTTTCTCTCTCTCCTTCTTTCTTTTGGAGGGCATGTGATCAGGTGAAAAAAAAAATCGATGTTGGGCTCATGAATTATTGTAAATAGAACTGCGTTATTCGATGCACTTTTTTGTGAGCAGAATGAGATGCATAAAGAACATGATGGTGGGGCCGGCCGATTTTGTAATAAAGGGACACAGAAGAAAAACAATGAAACAGTTTAGAGTGATGATTTGTGCTATAAAAAAATCTTATTTTCGTTAAACTCACCTTCATTGGCTTATTAATAGCAAGGAAAATCAACGTCAGTTTAATTTCGAATTTCACTCTGAAAGTCTTTGTTTGTGTTGTTACGGATAAAGAAAATTTTCTCCTTAAAGGGGACGTTGTGGCACAAATCAAGGGTGTTGTTTTTATCGCTTCTTCTCGAACTGTGGAATGCGCCGATGTCATTGCGTGAAGGGCAACGCCAAGAACAAAGCTGTTATAATTATATTTCGATGAAGCAACCACGTTTTTTTCGGACTAGGGCGACACATAGCAGCTGTTTTTGTGTTTGGAACTGACGCTTCACCAGGTGAAAGTGAAGACATAGGCTGTGTGTTGTAATTGGTTCTACACGAAGAGTCGCATATAATATTTATACAGTCCCAAACAGGCCACACTATTCTATGCTAAAAACAGTGAAAGCACTTCCTCAGATGCAAAATTAATTCTGTTTTTGAATATAGAAGTGTGAAAACGATTGAAAAACGCTATGCTAGGAGCACTGAAATATAACCGCCACGAGGCGAGTCGTCGGGTACGTCTCTGCAAGAGGCGCACGGTGATTGGCAATGGCCTTCGATGCCAGTAGGAGAGTGAAATGGAAAAGGGAACATTTCCTGTCATTGTCTGTTGGAGTTTTCAAGTTTGAACACTAGGGGCTTCCATCACCGTGCACCAATATCGATGATTTTTTTTTTCGTTGATATCAGCATTTGGCACTGTGTAAGCTCTAATGCTGTAGAATTCAGACAAAAAAAGTGTCACAGGACCCTTTTAATTGAGCCACACTGGCTCAATGAAATTTTCAGAGGACAATGTATGTCACATGTAATTTTTACGAACTATGTAGTCTTGAGTAGATGCAATCAAAATTTATGACGATTGGCCATTGGTGCTGAACTCCAACATGGCATCGCCACTCACATTTTATTTTTGTGCCCTTTCCCTCTTACTAAGCATCTTGTCGAAACAACCATGGTGA